GCCCCCCCCAGCCACTTGTCCCCCTCTTTTTTTGTTTCTTTTTTTTTTTTTATTTTTTTTTTTTTTTTTTTTTTTTTTTTTTTTTTTTTTTTTTTTTTTCCGTGCCCAAAAAAGAAAAAAAAAAAAAAAAAAAAAAAAAAAAAAAAAAAAAAAAAAAAAAATTATAACTGATTAATTTTTTTAAATTTATTTGAAACATAATTGATTATACATATTTATGGGGTACAGAGTTGACTATCAATATTTGTGGACAGTATGTGATGATCAGAACAGTATTATTAGTATGTTCATCATTACAGATCGTAATTATTCTTTGTGTCCATTACCCAATTTCTCCCCAAGTCCCCTTCCCCCTGCCCCTTTCCCACCTCTAGTAATCATAGTTCTGTTTTCTCCTTCTGAAAGTTCAGTGTATTATTGTGTTTGTTTGTTTGTTTCTTTCTTTCCTCTCTCTCTCTCTCTCTCCTCCCACTCGTGAGTGAGGACATGCAGTATTTCTCTTTCTGTACCTGGCTTATTTCACTTAACATAATTTTTTCCAAGTTCATCCATGTTTCTGTAAATGGCAGAATTTCATTCTTTTTTATGACTGAGTAGTATTCCATTATGTATATATACCACATTTTCCTTATTCAGTTGTCCATCAATGGACATTCAGATTAGTTCCATATCTTGACTATTGTAAATAGAGCTGCAATGAACACAGGAGTGCAGGTATCTATCTCTTTGACATGATGATTTCCATTCCTTTGGGTATACACCCAATAGTGGAATTGCTATATCATAGGGAACTTAATTAATAAATACCTGTTAAACAAATCAATCCCAGACTCCAAGGAGCTCAGAGTCAACTAGAGGAAACAGATCTATATGAACAATTAAGAGCAAAAAGCAGTAATAATTAAGACTCTCCCTCACCTCCCATCCTAAACTCTGACAGGTAAAACACCTCTGGGTATTAAAAGTTGGAAAATTTGGCAGGGGTTGGGTGGTGTTGGAGGAGACAGGGAGAAAGCAAGGACGTTTCAGACTGAAAGAACATCATATGAAAAAATATGGAGAAATGAATCAGCAGCAAACTTAGGGAATTACAAGTAAAGTAGAAAGCTCTTGCTAAAGCATCAAATAATGAGGATTGAGATTAGGAGACCTGAAGGTAGGAGGTAAAGAGAGATACAGTTCATACTTTAGATTGGAGTCAGATCATGAAATGCTTTCTGTTTGTTTGTTTCTTCCCTCACAGCTTTCAGTGAGCTCTTGGAACAATCTATTAACCATATTTTTTTGATGCATCTCCTCAACAGGGCCAAAGCAATACTTGGAAAGGATTCTGAATTCCCTGAGTTAAAGATACAAAAGAAAAATCTAGAGTCACATTTAATTTGACAAGGTAAAGGAGTGGGTGTGCTACTATATCAGATTTAATTTGTACAAAATCATCATCTCTGGTAACATTATTTTTTCTAATCTGCGTTCAGACTACTTTAGTAAGGCTTGATCTCCCTGTCTATCTAAACACCGATTCACTTACAGCAAGCTTCAGGCTAGCATTGGTCATATTAATTCCCAGCAGATCCACAAGGTGTTAGTTGCACATGATTTTGTATAAAAGGTTAACTGAGAGCTGATTCATTCTACGGCTTTCCCCAGGCAAGGCAGCTGACCACAGGTGAGTCTTGGCATCTATAGTTATCAAGTGGTGACAGCTACTTTTGAAATTTCAGGTGTTTCAGGACTGGAGAACAAATCTAGAGCTTTCCACAACTGTTGTATGGGGACCTGTGTTGTCAACCTGGTTTCTTAAATATTGTTAACACACTGTAATCACTGTTAGCAAGCAACTGACTTTGTAGACCAATTCTCGGACTTCTGAACTAGTCTTATTTTAAACCAGTGTGGGCAAAAGCAAATAACAGTATTTATAAGATGCTAAAAATGAAGAAATAATTTTATAGTATGGAATTTTCTTTTTGTTTTTAAGAAAACTAGTCTTTAAAAATGATAATGCTACAGAGTAATTACATAAAAACAGTTAGCCATAATACTCTAATATTTAAATATTGCTCTGCTTAAATAATTATATTGGAGTTTTTACCTATAATGCATTTCTACTTTGAAAACATGAAGAAAGAGGAAGAGGAGGAATATTATTATAAGTAACAGAGACGTAAAGAAAAGAAAAAGGAAGGAAAAAAAACTTGCAGAAGCAAAATGTGGTTGGGGAGGGTGAGTAGACCAATTATTTTTGGTTTGGTCACTTACATAATGATTAAAATTCTTTGGTTTCCTGGTTTCTAATGGGCCTTAATTGTTTGTTTCCCAGCCCAGGATGAAGGCAGTCCAGTTTTGCTTCCTTTTCTGTTGCTGGAAAGCAATCCTCTGCAATAGCTGTGAGCTGACCAACATCACCATCGTAGTGGAGAAAGACGAGTGTCGTTTCTGCATAAGCATCAACACCACTTGGTGTGCGGGCTACTGCTACACCAGGGTAGGTACTGTGCTTTGCTGGAAGTGGGGATGTGGAGGGTCTGTATGAGGCAATCTTCACTGACTCCCACCTTATCAATATTTTATATTTCTTTGGTGTGCGGGCTACTGCTACACCAGGGTAGGTACTGTGCTTTGCTGGAAGTGGGGATGTGAAGGGTCTGTATGAGGCAATCTTCACTGACTCCCACCTTATCAATATTTTATATTTCTTAACAGCCGTGAGTCCTTCAGCCAATATTGTCTGTTTGTGATTGTGGTTAATGACCATGATGTCAGTTAAACGTTTGGGCTTGGATTTAATTTGGGTAAATTTTCAGAAGCCTCAGATTTGCTCTGATCACTTTGGCAATATGCCAGTTCTGCATTTCTAAAAAAAAAAAAAAAATGTATTTATGCTATATTTTACGTGTAGAGAGATTAAACAGAAAAATACATATATTTAATCATAAAGTACCGACAATATTCCTAAAAAGGCAATTTCTGTACTTGAGGTCATATCTTTACCGTAGAGATAGTACCAAAATATGTTTCCACGTCACATAAAAACACAAATAGCCACATTATAAAAATTGTCTTCTTGGCCCACCTAAATACAAATGCCAACACACAGCCTGAGAATGCAATCGATCCTTGCAGACTATCAGAATGAAAATGAATCAGCAACCCACTCCCTTCTTTATACCACTGAGAAAACCAAGACACAGAGAGGCATTAACTTGCCCGTCTGCAGTCACACAGTTTCTTTGCATTAATCCACATAAAGAGGCAGTTTCTACCTTTTCTTTTCTTCTTTGCCCTGCACCTAGTTATCTATGCAGAATTTCATTATTCAAGCTGAAACTGAAAATAGCAACTTTTTAATGTAATATACTTTATTTGATGGTAAATGAGTTTAATCAACCAAGCTCCACATATTGCAGAATTTATTGCACCTTCTTTGCACATAGACTTGGTAGCATGATACTGAAATCAACTGAATAGCAGCCCCAAATTCTTCCCTCAGTGCAAATAATTTTCTCTGGAAAGTGCTAATACAAACTATTTCTGCCTGGATTAAAAGTTCTTATATGCAAACTGTGTCTCCCTTGAAACTAAGAGTCCTACAAAGTATATAGCATTTAGGGGGAGAAAAATGTCACAAGCCTATTAGAATATTTGGAATCTTACATAAGCCTCCATGAACATGTTAAGCAAAGCATAAACATTTCATATTATGTCTGTTTTTTATTTTTTACTTTTTGTAAATATGCAAGGACAATGTATTTGAAAATATTTTTTCTGAGAAGTTAAATTCCGGTGTTTATGGTTTAAGTTTTCATTAATATAGCTTTCAGTTTGGTACAAAAAGTCAACTTAAAATTCTAAGTCATATTTCACTTTCATCATTGTTCTATATCAAAATTCAAATTTCCTTTATACTTTGAGAAATGACTAATGATTTGATATAGCAATAGGGAATAGGAAAAGGAATGACTCATATTTTCTGTAAGATTTCCATGACAATTAGGAAATGTGATATAAAAATAGTTCATTTATGAAGGTTTGTGGGTTTTAACAGGTAAATATTAGAGCAAGCATTATTAAATTCCTTTCTCATTTTGACTAAACCAGATAGAAGCTTCCAGAATATTGTAACCTAACTCTGTCCTTCCTAAATTACTCAGGACCTGGTGTTTAAGGATCCAGTCAGGCCCAACATCCAGAAAACATGTACCTTCAAGGAGCTGGTATATGAGACTGTGAGAATGCCTGGCTGTGCTCACCATGCAGACTCCCTGTATACGTACCCAGTGGCCACCGAATGTCACTGTGGCAAGTGTGACAGCGACAGCACTGACTGCACTGTGCGAGGCCTGGGTCCCAGCTACTGCTCCTTCAGTGAAATGAAAGAATAAAGAACAGCAGACATTTCTGGCCACCAATCCCTTTCCTGAAGGGACCAAGTTATCCAAAAAGTCTGTGTGTGTGCAATGTGCTCAGGCTGCAAACCCTTGGGCCAGCGTCAGACCCTGCTGATCCCTGCTCTACTTGCAGATGGGGAGCTCCAGGAATTGAGAGTGCTGTGGCAGGATCCCATCACCACTCAGCCCAGTAGCCCTGGGTCTGGGCTCTGTAAATTTCATTCAGTCTTAACTCCCAGACTCATGGATGTTTTTCTCCTTACTAATCTTCAAAATCCTCCCAGGCAATATTTTCCTTTTACAGAGAGGGATACGTAGGTCCAGAGGGAGGGAATGATGATGGAAGGGGGTGAAGGAATTAAATGCAGCACAGTCTTCTGCGAGCTTCTTGGGCCCTCAAGAGCAGGGCCAGCATCTTCTTCATGATTGTAGCCTAGCACTCTGCCCCAAACTCAGTGGGAACCTCAACAATACTGTCCTTAAGGAAAATAAGATCAGAAAGTTAAAGGATAAGAAAATGCTGAAAGAGGATGTGTGAGGCTGCCCCCAGCCACACCAGCCCACAAGTGTGGTAGCATCAGTTCCACCTCACCCTTACTCTGACACATGGAATATTAAGATGGGATGTATCTCTTAAATGCTTGGTGTGGGGGGCGGGGCGGGGGACAGAGCTTGGGATTTCCAAGGTATTGCTACCAAGCCCTTTAAGTTAAGGGGAAAAGCAACAAATGTTAATTTGGGACTATGGAAATTAGCCTGCATCTGTTCATTACTGAAACAAATTGATCAAATGCTGCTAGGCTCCTGCAAAATTCCTTTTTGGGATGAAGAAAAAAATTCTATCACCCTGGCCTCCCTAGGGTATTCCTTTGGCAAGAGGGAGATTTGGAAGTAGGTTTGAAAGCAATTTCAGCAGCTTAACAAATATATTTAACTTATCTACAATTACATTTGTATAACAAAATAGCTCTTTTAGAAAGAATTAGCTATGAGGGGGGAAAAAACTCTGTTTTGTAGAATCCTCTCTGTATCATTTTTCTTTTGTCTAACCATGTTCTCCCAAATCTATGATTTCTTTCAAAAGAGTATATGCTAAATCTATTTTATGGGTTGATTTCTTTTAAGGATATTAACTCTCTTAGTTATGTACTTGTTTCACACACATATTGTTTAACTAATTTATTAAAATCTTATTTTTTTAATAAAGATGCTAGCCACCAGTTATAGATTGAAATTGTTTCATGTACAACTGATGACTTACATATATGTATGTTTATAATACTAGTAGGAAAAAACGTTAAAATATAATTCCAAGTGCTTTTACAAATATTACCTGTACTCATTTTTGAAAATATTAAAAATAATTTTGTTGCATTTCTAAAAGTATTTTGTTATTTAAATGTTCTGTCATTTTTTGATGTCATTTTCTGATGTAGTGGAAGGAAAAAGCATACAGAGAATCAGAGTAGGTGGGAATATGGGAGGTTCTCTAATACATTTCTTGAATTTTTCAAATGGAAAAATTGAAGCTCAGTGATAAGCAACCTACCTGATATCACTGTCTTAGTTCAGTAAGGCTGCTACAGCAGAATACCTTAGACTGGGTAATTTATAAGCAACAGAAATGTATTGTTCACATTCTGAAGGCTGGGAAGGCCACGATCAAGGTGGCAGTAGATTCGATGTCTGGTGAGGGCCCACTCTGCTTCATAGATGACACCTTCTTGCTGTGTCCTCACTTTGGGGGAGCAGCAGAAAGCCCCCTCAAGCCTCTTGTATAAGGGCAGTAATCCCATTCAGGAGGGCTTTGCCTGATGACCTAATTACCTCTTAAAGGCCCCACTTCTTATTACCAGCACAATGGGAATTAAGTTTTAAAATGATTTTGGAGGGAAATCAATATTCAGACCATAGCAATCACACAGACTGTTTGTGGCAGAACCAGAATTAGAACCTCCTAGCTCTTAGGCCAGCTCTCGTTTCATTATTCCACCATGCTAAGAAGTCATTTGGCAAGGGTTGAAGCAAAACAATAGGTACTGATAAACAGCTATGTCCATTCAAATCTGGTACTGGGTGTGGCTTACAGCTATATTTTTTACAATATCTGGACACATCAAAATTAGGGCTAACTTAACAAAGTTTAATAAGATGCTTTAAATCATAATACAGGCTTTACCTTCTCCCTGTAGTTTTGGGAGATCAAAATAATAAGCCTTCCCATTAGAGATAAATAGGCAATGGCTCCAGAGTTATGTTTTCTCAATCATCTTAACCAGATGTATCATCTTAAACACACCCCATACTGTTTTCCACAATGGCTATACTAATTAACATTCTCACCAACAGTGTATAAGAGTTCCCTTTTCTCAGCATCCATCCAGCATGTGTCACATTTTGTCTTTTTGATAATAGTCATTCTAATTGGGGGAAGATGATGTTTCATTGTAGTTTTGATTTACATTTCCTTGATGATTAGCGATGTTGAGCACCTTTTCATATACCTGTTGGCTATTCGATTAACATTCTCACCAACAGTGTATAAGAGTTCCCTTTTCTCAGCATCCATCCAGCATGTGTTACATTTTGTCTTTTTGATAATAGTCATTCTAATTGGGGGAAGATGATGTTTCATTGTAGTTTTGATTTACATTTCCTTGATGATTAACGATGTTGAGCACCTTTTCATATACCTGTTGGCTATTCGTATGTCTTCTTTTGACAAGGAACTATCCACAAAAGAAATCAAGAAAGCAATTCCACTTACAATAGCTACCAAAAAATAAAATAACTAGAAATAAATTCAACCAAGGAGGTGAAAGATCTCTACAATGAAAAACTACAAAACATTGATGATAGAAATTAAGGAGGAAACACAGAAATGAAAAGACATCCCATGTTCATGGATTGGAAGAATTGATATTGTCACATGACCATACTGTTATTATCAACAGGCTCAGCTACCCTCTTGAACTAAATAAATGACCTGACGGTCCGAAAGTTGGTGCAAGAATCAGAAGCTTTATTCAGATAACTAGCATCTGGAGGATGACTGGGTGGCTAAAATCATCCTGTCTTCTGATGCCTGTTCTGGTGTTTATAAAAGGGAAAAGGTGGAAAGGTGAGGTAAGTGTTTTGTCCTGCAGTCAAATGGCAGGGAGGGGTTAGTCACAGAATCAGCAGAAGGTCTGAGTCAGATGTCAGTGTACCCTTGATGGACTTGGGTGCTTTGGCATCATGGAGTCTGCAGTTGGTAGACTGGTGTTATCTTGGGGCCAGAGTCCTCATCACCTGGGCAGCGCTCAAAGACAGTAACCTCAGTCAAGCATTACTGAAACATGAAAATACCTGACATGTATCTCTAACTAATGTGGATGCAATTTTTCTTCAAGAGAGAAGGTGAGTTAATAATCAGCTAAGGTGCTTTGCCTTTCTCTTGGAATTCCTTTGTTTGCAGTTGATTAGGAAAGGTAAGGAAAACAAGAAAACTTAGTTTCAATTCTTAATTTTTGGTACACAACATCTAAAACAAATCAACATAAGAAAGTGTAATGGGAGGTGCACAGAAATAAACTTTTGAGAAGGATCCTTTGGGGGCATGATTTCATATTCAGGAAGTTTCAGCCTTATGGTCAGTTTCTCAGTTCCTCTGCTAACCTCAAGGAATTGATGATTATCACTTCCTCAGCTTGGAATAATTATGACTCACTTGAAAAAGGAGAACTGTGAGTACAGCAAGTCACTCACAGTGAACAGCATTGTTCTTTTTTTTTTTTTCTTCCTTTTTGTCTTTTATCGTGTCCGGCAATGGATCGCAACCCTCAGTGTTGCGCCCGTACCGGACTGGGACCGGCAACGGGATCGCAACCCTCGGTGTTGCGCCCGCACCTCGCTCAGCCAGTGAGCGGGAACCGGTCTGTATGTGGGATCCGAACCCTCGGCGGCAGCGCCACCGCACTCCCAAGCGGTGCACTGTAGCAGTGCGCCACCAGGCCAGCCCAAACAGCATTGTTCTTAAGTTAATGGCTAACTGAAATTTTCTGCATGTTCTTAGATACCTCAAAGATGGGCTTTCTCTGGTAAAGTTCCTTTCAATACTACACAGAGCAATCTACAGATTCTATGCAATCTCTATCAAAATACCAATGACATTCTTCACAGAAATATAAAAAAAAATTCCTAAAATTCATATGGAACTACAAAAGACCCCAAACAGCCAAAGCAATCCTGAGAAAAAAGAAAAAAGTGGGAAGTATTATGCTATCTGACTTCAAAGTATACTATAAAGCTATAGCGATCAAAACAGCATGGTACTCTGATAAAAACAGACCCATGGGCCAATGGAATAGCATAGAGAACCCATATGTAAATTCACACGTCTATAGCCAATTGATTTTTGACAAAGGCACCAAGAACATATAATGGAAAAAGGATAGCTTATCAATAAATGGTACTGGGAAAACTGGCTCTCTATATGCAGAAAAAAAGAAACTAGACCCCTATCTCTCATCATACACCAAAATCTACTCAAAATGGATTAAAGACTTAAATGTAAGATCTGAAAGTATAACATTACTAAAAGAAAAAATAAGAGAAACATTCTTAGACATTGGTCTTGGCAAAAATTTTATGGAGACTTCTAGAGCTCAAGCAACAAAAGCAAAAATAGACAAATGGGATTACATCAAACTGAAAAGCTTCTGCACAGCAAAAGAAAAAAATCAACATCATAAAAAGGCAACCAGCAGAGTGGGAGAAAATATTTGCAAACTATTCATCCAATAGAAATTAATATCTAGAATATACAAGGAACTTAATTCAACAGCAAAATAATAATAATAATAATAATTTGATCAAAAATTGGGCAAATGACCCAAATAGACATTATTCAAAAGAAAACCTATTGCTTCTTGATCCCAAATAATAAGTGATACAGTGAAATTGAAGGACAAAGTTCCATTAAAACTCAGTCCTGAGGCAAAGACAGATTTAGGGTATTGCCTTTCTACCCAGGTCTTTTATCTAAGATAGTATCATGGTAGAACCATTAAGTTGCGAGGAAGCAAAAAAAAAAAATCAG